CCGTTCGCGAAAGTACCTCAAATGGACCATCATACGGTGGCGTGAGAGGTGGTCGTACTGCGTCCCTTCTTACGAATACATGTTTGCATGTATTGAGATCGTCACTAATAAATATGTGCCGAGAGTTTGAGTGTCTAGGTGAGACTGGACGCAGGGAATTGAAAAATGTCTTCATGTCCTGAAGGTATGATGGGATGTCCGTTGGTTCAGATGGTATGCAGGTTAGGAATTCTCCAGGTAATCGAAGTGTGGTTCCATAAACGAGTTCAGCTGAGGTGCAGTCGATGTCGGCTTTGAAAGTGGCACAAATTCCGAGAAGAACAAGAGGAAGGTGATTAACCCAATGGGTTCGATCTTCTTTTGTCATTAGCGCTGCTTTGAGCTGTCGATGCAGCCTTTCAACCATGCCATTGGCAGCGGGATGATAGGCTGTTGTGTGCACGTGCCTGACACCCAATATCTTGGTGAGGGCTGTGAAGAAGGCGCATTGGAACTGCCGGCCGCGGTCGGTTGTAATGGTCGACGGACAGCCGAAACGCGCGATCCAGATGGAGATGAAGACGTGAGCGACTGTTTCCGCTGTGATGTCGGTAAGCGGAACGGCCTCTGGCCATCGCGTGAATCTGTCCACGCATGTGAGTATGTACCGAAATCCGTTTGATGATGGTAGGGGTCCTACTATGTCAATGTGTACATGATCGAACCTGGCATCCGGTGGCCGAAATGCGTGCGTTGGTGTTTTTGTGTGGCGAAACACTTTAGAGCGTTGGCATTTGTTGCATGTTTTCGTCCACAGACGGATGTCAGAGTTCATTCGGGGCCAAACATACCGTGACGTAACGAGACGCTGCGTAGCACGGATACCCGGATGATTTAGGTCATGTACGGTGCGGAAGATAGCTTGCCGAAATTTTTCTGGAATGTAGGGTCGTGGTGTGGATGTAGATACATCGCAGATGATCTCGCAGGTGGCCAGTGGTAATCTGACGGGCTGTAGTTGAAGGGATGTGTAGGATACCCGTAGATCTTGTAGCTCGGCGTCTGCCTGTTGAGCCAACGCCAATTCCGGGAAATTGACAACAGGAGATGAGGAGATGGCGTCAATGCGGGAAAGTGCATCTGCTGGCATGTTTTGGGATCCAGCGACATGGCGGAGATCGGTAGTGAATTCGGATATGTAGGCCAGGTGACGAATTTCTCTGGTGGAGTAGGAGTGGTGATTGCCGACGAATGCGTAGATCAGTGGCTTGTGGTCGGTGAGTACGTGGAAAGCTCGGCCTTCTAAGAAGTACCGGAAGTGGCGGATGGTCGCGTAGATTGCGAATAACTCGCGTCCAAATGTACTGTACCGTGTTTCGGCTGGGTTGAGTTTTTGTGAAAAGAAACCCAGTGGGAGCCACTGATGATCGCCGTATTGCTGAAGCACTGCTCCTACAGCGACATCGGACGCGTCGACCATGACACGCGTTGGTGCGTTTGGCATGGGGTGCACAAGGAGTGTGGCCTCAGCCAGGGCATTCTTGACCGCGGTGAAGGCAGCCTCCGCATCTGGCGTCCATGGTATTGGCGTCGAAGATTTCTTGGGGCCGCGGAGCAAGTCGGTAAGGGGCTTGATGGTTTGAGCGCAGTGTGGAATGAAGCACGCCTGTGAAAGTTGATGAGCCCTAGGAACTCCCGCAGCTTGCGTAGAGATTGCGGTTGTGGGTAGTCACGAATGACTTGCACCTTGGAATGAAGGGGTTCGATGCCCGTGGTTGTTATGCGGTGCCCCAGAAAATCTAAGGATGTCACGCCAAAAACGCATTTCGTCGCATTAATGGTAAGACCGTAGTCGCGGAGTCGTTCGAAGAGCAAGCGCAGGTGTGTGCTGTGTTCTTCGTGTGACTTGCTCGCCACCAGCAGGTCATCCACGTAAGCAACAACGAAAGGTAACCCAGATAGAACTTCGTGGATGAACCTCTGAAATGTCTGGGCGGAATTTCGCAATCTAAAAGGCATCCGGATGTACTCGAATAGGCCGAAGGGAGTAGTGATGGCCGTCTTCGGGATGTCCTCTGGTTGGATTGGAATTTGATGGTAAGCCTTGACTAAATCGATCTTGCTGTAGATGGACGTTCCAGCAAGATGTTCAGTAAGGTCATGGATATGGGGTAATGGGTACCGGTCAGGTTGAGTTTGTGAGTTGAGTGCCCGGTAATCTCCACAGGGTTTCCAGTCGCCCGGATCTTTCTTGGGCACCATGTGTAGAGGCGTTGCCCAAGCGCTGTTGGATGGCCGGATGATGCCTAACTAGAGCATATGCTCGAATTCTTGGCGGGCTATCCTGAGGCGTTCGCCAGATAGGCGTCGAGGGCGTGCAAAGGTAGGCGGGCCAGAGGTGATGATGTGGTGCGTCACTCCATGTTGCGGTGGCTTTGCCATGTTGGAGGTCTTTGTAATTTCCGGGAATGCACCGAGGATGTCTGCGAATCCTGAAGCTGGGAGGATGTTTTTGATCCCAAGGGAAGTCTGGTTTGTGGCTACGCCATTTACAACGAGACGAGTCTTGTTGTCAATGAGACATCGGTGGTGCACGCTGACGTCTAGGTTGAAGTGCGACAAGAAGTCTGAACCTAGGAGAGGGTACGTAACGTCGGCGATGGTGAAGATCCACCGAAAAATTCTGCGTAGCCCCAAGCCCAAGGTCACAGAGCGCATTCCGTAGGTAGGGATGTTTGAGCCATTTGCTGCAACTAGATGGCAGCCGGGTAATGGGTGTCGTTTTTGAGCTGGCGTTGGCGGAAGGATGGACATTTCCGCTCCGGTGTCAACTAGCAAGCGTATTCCTGAGATTTTCTCGGTGATGAAAAAGAGACGGCTTGCTGTTGGGCCAACGTCACTCGCCGCCTCTAGTGACTGGCCGGGGCGTTTCCCTGCCAATTGCATGGCTGTTGGCACTTCAAAGCTCGGTTGCCAAATTTCTGGTGGTACCAGCAGGAATTGCTAGCGCGTTGTTGCGAAGAATCGCCTCGTCTAGAAGAACTGCGGCGTCGAGACGGACTACGACGTGGCGGACGATGTGGGTGTCTACGCGTTGTGCTGAGTTCTGCGATGGCGGTTGTCAGAGCATCTACGCGGGCCTCAAGGGCTCGGATAGAACAGCACTGGCGGTCGTTGTCCGCAACGCTTGACAAGGTTGGCGCAGCATATTCGGCAACGCGGTCCGCCATCTCGGCGAGGCGATCTAGTGGTAGGTCTGTAGCTGGTGCAAGGGTCATGCGGATCCCTTGAGGCAAGCGTTGAAGGAACAGTTCCCGTAGAATTGGGAGGTTCTGATCGGGAGCTTGCTCACCTAGAAGTTGGCGCATGCGGTGAAGCAACTGAGAGGGTCGCCGGTCGCCCAGCTCCTCGGTGGTCAGGAGCTGTTGTATCCGCGATGCCTCGGATGCTGTCTTCCTGGCGAGGATGGTTTCCTTAATGTGGTCATAGGCATTCTCCGGAGGAGGGAGCGCCAGGACATCATCCAGCTCATTGGCCACTTCGGGGGGTAGGGCAGAAACCACATGGTAGTAGCGGGATTCCTGTGTGGTTATGCAGCGCAAGTGGAACTGGGCTTCCACTTGCGAAAACCAGGCCCGAGGATTCTTTGCCCAAAAAGCTGGAAGGCGGAGCTGGGTGGCGGAAAAGGTTCCATCGCCGTTGGAAGAGCTGCCTGTGTTCCGGTCCATGTTGGTCGGACGTCCGGGTCACCAATTTGTCGGCGGTGTTCGAAAATGCCGGAAAAGAATTTGAGACGTCCGGCCCGGAGCTTAGGCGAAAGGCATCTCTTCTTCTTTTTATTGTTGTCGCACCGGCTCCCGAGATCCTATGAGCGAGCTAGAGCGAGAGTCTGCACGAGCAACTCGCGCTCACTGTGCTCGGTTCTGTGGCGCGCCCATTGTTTTAATTCTGAGCATGAATGATTTCTTTTTGAGTGAAGCAGGTTTTAAGAGCTGCGACTCTACAGTTGCACTGAACTATCCTTGGGGTTGTCCCTTTCTATCGAAAATACATTACTTGCCCCGTTCCCTTCTCTTATCTTTACCACAGAAAATATTATAATTCATAACATATAAATTATAATATTTTCTCCAGTAATTAAGCAGTTGTTTCACAACACAAGCCCGATTAACGCCGATTTCTCTCCGGCATTGAAATTAGACATAGAAAAACACCGCTTCAAAGGGGGAAAAAAAAAAAAACACCTATAAATAACCCCCAAATTTGAAAAAAAAAAAAAAAAAAAAATAACACGGAACCCTTAAGTATGAACTGCCAAAACAACCACCCACAAACATTAGGGAAGCTCTACAGTTCTCCTTTAAAGGAAACTCTGCTCAACCCCCCCTCCCCCCCTTCTTCTTCAAAAAAAAAAAAGATGTTTGTACTGGCTAGTTGGCGCAAGCTACCACCGTCTGTATAAAGGGTACAGCCATTACCATTTATTCATCCATTCATCCTTTTACTGGATGCTTCTCACTCCTGTCTATAACAGCAAAGGATGCCCTTTTCAGACAGCAATTAGTTGTCTTATCCTCCCCTTCACCCACTGGCAAGTCCCCAAGGGGTCCCCAACACATTCATGCTTGAGAAATACTGGGCTAGACCAATCCAGTACACCTACTGTCCCGGGACAATCGCGGTTTTAGTATGTGTGTTCGAGCTTCGGCCTGTGCTCCGATCTAAAATTAAACAAACTATATGGTGAGTACGTAGAGACGCTGTGAAATACATGTACCATTTTCACTTCCTCCTACTTCCCTAAATATTACGGTAGGTGAAACCAATGATATTTTTTTTTTTTATTCTTTCTCTTTTGGCACGGGTGTGGCCCAATTTTTAGCAAAGATGGTACTTTGGCACAAGATACAGCAGACGTTTGTTCGTGGTGCAATTTGGTGCAAATGGCACAGCACTTCCACCCTTGTATATTGCTTAAACATGAACCAACTCGCCCCCCCCCCCCCCCCCCCCCTCACCACTCTAATCAAACTAACACTGCCAAAGTTGAAAGTCTGAAATTAACCTTATTCCAGTCTATGATTACAGGATTAATCGTACTGAAGACATTGTAGCAAGCATTCAGTCAACCACGGAAGGTTGACCACAGCGATGCTTTTGATTATGCATGTCACCAATAGGTAGCATCTAGACACTGTTCGGGCTTGAGTAATGGAAAGCCTGCGAGGGCACGGAGTAGCCAGCAGAGAATGAACCACTATAGTTGATTTCGCTCCATGACTTTGCAGCTACAAGCACAAGCGTGTCGCTTTCAATAATGCTTGGACGGCACAAGCATGTGCGCTTGACAAAGACGTTGAAATCCTGGAGCTCACTCTTGTAACTTCTGCTACGCTCGCACTTAAAGCGGAACGGATTATAATGCAAAGATGCGGATGTATGTCACCTTCAATCTACATTTCACAAAGCTCGGGGTGTTCGATTTAACTGCCATTAGCCTGCAAGTGTTGAACTCTACTGGATGGCCTTTGTATTCAGTTTACAATATGCAGCACACTAACAAACACAATAAGTACACTCATAATGAACACTCAAGCTATGTGAAATGACAAAAATGACTGTCAGTCTGTTTTCTGTCCTGCAGACGGATTATCCGTACCGTCCCAGTCTAATGAGCGAAGTCTTGAGTCAAACCGGACAACCTCGTTTGTATTAACAAGGACATAACCATCTTGGTACAGGTTGAGTTTGGCTTTCGTCTGTACAACCTTTTATAGGACTAGTTCTCGCATGAAACCATTCTTTCAGCGTTAAGCAACAAACATCTTCCACACTCCAAAACTTGCAAGGAGAGTCATTGCCCTGAGAGGTGTACCATTACTATGTATACGCTAGAATATATTACAAAGTGTTTGTTCTAGATATAGCTCCTCCACTATATTCATTTATTTTTCTCTCTTCCTAGTTACATCTGTTGCAATAAAATGAAGTGTTTGGCGCCTGGGTCCACGTCACGTCGCTCATCTTCTATACGAGCGACGTGAAAGCTCTCAGAAAGACCACGAAAGGAAATCGAGATGTAACTTTTTCAAGTACCTCGAGCAAGGCGATAGAAGCAAAGCAGCTTTCAGCCAGATGCTTTGTTTGCACTCAATGATCTCAATAACAAAAAAGGATCTTGATCCAGAAATTTTTGTGGACACGTTTGGTAGCTTGAAACCAAAGTTACGCTCCCGTGTCTCCACTTTTCTTTTTCTTGCAAAAATAAAAAGCGAATGATTGATTGATTATTACTTCCATTATGCTCGCTATTCTCAAAGTTAATCCTCTTTGCTTCTCACAATGTACCATTTTCATTTTCAGCTCAATAAACATAATGAAAACACTTTTCATGGGGCTCTTTTCTCCCTTTATGTGGTGAAGTAAGGTACTTGTATGTGCATTTGAGATCAGTTATTTCTCATTTGATCAAAACACTCATTTAAAATGCAAAAAAAAAAAACATAGTTTTTTTTCTGTGACAATGAAACTTTGTAATCACTAGTTTTTGCAGTGCATGAACTGTGCACAAAACTTGTTTTTTCTTGAGGTGACGAGTATACTAATAGGTGATAAAGCATTATGCAATGGAACCCCGATTACACATTCCCGAATCAGACAGCATCCCACATTTTACAACCTTTTTGCAGGCGTCGTTAAAGTTGTGTACCGTAATATCCTGACAGATAGCCCACCTAAAATCTATAGCCAATCGGGTGAAAATAGGAAGTGGGCTAACTTTCGCTGTACAATCAAGAGAAGTTAAAAAAAAATGTTCCTTTTAGATTTTGTGACACGCGAAACTTGCAATCGAAGGGAGGGGCGATGAGCCAAAGACGACCGTCCTTCCGAGTTGGCAACGTTCTCTCATCTCCCGCCTTGGCTATGTAACACCATTTCTGCCGAGCTCACCATTCACCAGGGCTTTGCACTTGCTAGAAGTGGGCTATCTTTAGGTATTTCCGAAGAAATAGCAAATCATGCCAAAATAGGGGGTGGATTATCTTTCGGGAGTGGGGCATCTCTCCGAATATTACGGCGATTGGGGTTCCACCATACTCGTGTTGACGTGGTACCACACCTCTTTCGTCATAGACGCGACCTCCTCGTTTCAGGCAGAACTCAGAAAAAAAATGCTACTAGATTTCTGTCTCCTGTTCCACACAGAAACTAAGGCGCGAAACGAAAAGCCAAAACGCGCTCCGAATCACTTCGGGCCAATGTTTTAGTCACGGCGCAATTGAGCTGAAGATTAAAAACCGCGGTTCCTTCGAGGAAACGACCACAAACCCGTGGAATGCACGCAGATGCCGCACCAAGCTCGCGGCTGCCTAAGTCCACGGCAGGAAATTAACGTGCAGCGCGGTGCCCACGACGGCATAAGCCGCGAAGTAAGTCACCAGACGCTTGCACTGGAGATCCCTCTGCCACAGATTGCGGACCACGTCCGCCCAGACGTGGAGGCCCTTGGTGCGCGGACGTGGATCTGCAGCCAGGAAGGTGGACCAGTAGAGGACCGGGCTCGCTGCAGCCAGGAGCCTCGTCGTGACCTGCACGTTGGCGAAGAGGACGCAGAGCAGCAAGAGACCGCCCGCGTGGAGGACGTAGGGCACGTGCCTCGCGTCTCCCGGCGACCTCGAGAACCGGGCGCAGCAACCGGCGACAACCGCCGCCGCGGGCAGCGCCAGGAGGAAGTTGGGGAGCTGCTTCGGCCGGTAGTACGCCAGGAACCCCACGTCCCAGTAGCGTGACTGGACGTAGCCGTACGAGAAGGGCAGCGGCGCCGAACACCACTCGGACGCGTTGCGGCCGGCTAGCTTGTAGCCGGCTTCGGACGCTTGACTCGCGACCAGCGCCGGTGGCCGGCCGGAGTAGTCTGGCACACAGAAGAGGGACCAGGCGTAGCACTGGAACAGGACGAATGGGACGAAGCAGACGGCTGCACGGAGGAACGAGCGGAACGGAGTCCAGTTGAGCACAAGGCCGGAGTAGAGGAGGAACCCGGCCGAAAGAAACCCGTTGGAACGGACGAACCCGCCGAGGAAGAAGAGGAGGGTCGCGAGGTTGGGGTGTCCGTGCTCGAGGAGGGCAAGACCCCCGAAACTGACGGCGGCGAAGAGGGACTCCGTGTAGCAGGCGGAGAAGAAGATGGATGCCGGGTTGAAGCAGAAGAGAAGGAGCGCCTCGTCGGCGAGCTCCTTGGAGAAGAGCCTCCTGGTGAGGCGATGCAGCGAGGCGGCGGCGACGACGAACAGCCCGACGTTGAGGAAGACGCCGGCGAGGACGAGCGCGCTGTGCCGCGCGAGCAGGGAGCTTAGAAAGGGGTCGACGAAGACATTCGCGACCCGGCGGAGCAGCCACGGGTAGAGGGGGAAGAAGGCCAACGTCTGCTCGTACGTATAGCCGTGCTCGGCGATGTGCAGGAAGTACTGGGCATCCCAGCGGGTCAGTCCGCCCAAGAACCAGGCCACGGCGCGGTCGCCGATCGCGTCACTCCGAGGCCAGGCAGCTCGGAAGGCATCTGCATTGTGGTCCGGAACCACCCAATTGAAGATGGCCTGTGGTGGAGAGAGCACGTCCTATGTGTCGTCGATGCAGTGACTACTACGCTATAATTCCCGGTAGAGATTGGCCTCGAAATAAAATAAACTTCTAAACTTTTTCGACTTTGCCCCAACTATTGCCAGAGTTGTCCCAACTAAGACGCTGATTACAAGGGCGACTTGTAGTGTCTTAAGTTATTTTTTCTCCTTTTTACAGGCGTGTATAGCATACAATTTTCTATCGTACAAGTTCACCGACGTCCTTTATTGGTTACTCGTAATATTTGAAACCTTATTTTGGTGTATGCTCTCCCGTTGTATCTTTGAGGCTTGGGGTCCGCAAGCTGTTTCAGACAGCTTTTTTCCCATAGGCTTTTTTGGTAAAAAGTTAACAGTTGTATTATTTTTATTACTACCCCCCCCCCCCCCCCCCCCCCCCCCTACCCGAGGCTGCTCACACATATAGCACAGCACTACCTCAGCCCTATTACTCAGCGCTGGAAATATTGCTGACCTTGCTGGTGCAGCACTGACTTCTTGGTATACAAGTGATACAGCGGTGACACTGTGCTGCATCAGTGCTGAGTTATGTCCAAGTCAGCGCTGCACCAGCGCTGCTCCTAGTCTTGACTGAGCGCTGCGACGTATGTGTGAACCTCTCATGGTTCTTCCTGGAAAATTAAAGAAAGAGAGGATGCCAAGAGAGAAGGGTGTATAAGCAAGAGCAGAGCACCGTACGAAGCTGACGAAGCTCGGAGCAGCGAAGACAACCCCGTTTGGGGGTGTCCAAACCCCGAGTTGGGTGCGCTGCCTCCTGAGCGATCGAGGTGCCGACCCGTCCGAGGATGATTTGATTGCGAGGGAGGCAACTGACGACAGTACTCGGCGCCACTGCAGTCCAGCGACACAAAAGTGGTACCTGGTACGACAGAAAGCACCCGAATGCCTTCCAGCTAAAAAAGATGTCTGATATTGCTCATCCGCTCTATGTAGCATCATCTCGAGCACAACAAATAACCCTGCTAACAGAAACTTCAGTCACGCCAACCTGTGAACTCCTCCAACACTTATTGTAAGAACTGATGCCCAATGACCCATTATTTGACTGATCCTGCGCACATATACTCTTGGTTATTCTTCTTCCTAGTTGCAGCGAATATTTTCCTAGTGAAGCCAGGTGGCTGTATGATTGATTACATCTCTAATCACTGTAACCAACATTTGCTAAGCGAGGAAGCATGCCGATAATCCTTTTTAGTGAAATAATGGCCACTAAGTTCGTTGTCAAGTCCCTCTTTGGAGTCTGTAATCCTACCAGCTTCTGCTGCTTTCATGTTACGCTCCAGATTCTTTCCGACGTCAATAAATCCAAGGTGATCTACATATGGCCTTTGCTGATGGACAGGGGGAAAAGGATAAAATACAATGACTCTTCTCCACAATATTACGGCAGTTGTAGCGCTTTCTTTTTAACGTGTGCATATACCTAAAATCGGCGCACAGCTTTACTACAAAAAATATTTTCGTATGGCATAAATTTTTTTTAGGTAATATTTATTTTTATATTTATTTTTAGCTCAAGAGAGCAACGGCGCCGTAGAAAGGCAAGTCGCCGCCGCGTCTAACGACGATGAAATGGCATCAATTCCCAGCCGTAGCGAAACTCGTATTGCCTGCGCAGGAACAACGATTACACAAACGTGTATCTTCTAAAGTCTTCTTTTATTTACATCCGATCGCCCTTATGATTCGTAGCAAGCCGCAAGGGACGATATTCACAAGGCGGCAGCGGTACACGCACCCCTTAGAGGTACCCCGAGTCGTTACCTGGAGCAGAAACACGACGATCCTCGAGAGAAGGGCCAAGATGACGACGCTTGAGATCATTCTGGCCGCTGCATAGCCGAGGAAGGGAAAATCAATCTGTCCGGCAAGCGACACTAAGCACTGTAGCGAATCTCTCCGTTACCTTCGCCGCCGCCGTCGCTCCGTTGCAGGGGGGGGAAGGTGCCGCCGCTTCCAATGCACCCTCCTCAGAATTTACGGCGCTCCGTGGGGGCCGCCATGTTAAAACTTGATACCAGTGTTGCTGCATCTGTAGGTCATCCTTAAGTTAGAGCTGACGGAGAAAATCTGGCCACGGCGCAACGCCGATGTACGCTGGAAGCTAGAGCCGGTTTGCTTTCGTTGTTTTTGTTTGGTCGGAGAAAATCTGGCAACAACGCACGTTCAACATGGCGCCGGGATTGCATCGGCACCTTCGGTTTGACTCCGTTTGACGCGGTTTACGAGCACATGTAGCGAAGACGTGACCGGAGAAGTGCCCCTGTGATGGTCCCGGAAGACGGAAAGTATCATTCGTAATCGTCGGGTGTGCTTTGAAAGCGAAGGAGCGAAGGGAGTCACAGAATCCACGAGTGCGCAACCACAAGCCAAGGTTCACGACAGCGCTCCGTTGACTTCGGCGATCTCGTTCTGTTGGGTGCATAGAGATAGGTTTGGTGCAACACGGCGATGGCGACAAAGAGTTGAAACGTTCGTGGTATGTGGTGGGGTGCTTGGAGGTAGAAGCCCATACTAGCACGAAGCGCAAATCGGTTATTGTGGGGTTGAAATTCAACGGGTTCAGTCTCGTCGTCGTCAGCTGATCCGGTCCAGCTGGTCCGGAAGGACGCAGCGAGCGCTTTTAAAAGTAAATCTTCCTTCGTTCCGTTTCAAAATGTGCAAGATTCGCGACGCATACCGTGAGTAAAAAGCTGCGGGCGTTTTCACCAAAATTACGTCGTTTTAATTGAACAATGGACTCCGGATTGTGTTCCGAGACCTCCCGTTTTTATGCTTCGTGTTGTTGGCGTTTGCACAGCGACGCACACCGCCCGAGTAGATGATTCGGTCCTGCAAACGACGGTCATACACCGATATTTTCTTGTAAATCTCGTGTGAGTTTGTTGCGCTGGTCATGCGATGTGAATAAATTAGGGCAACGTTTCCTACTTGCCTGCGGATGCATGAACTGAGAACATTTTTTACGTAGTGAACATAGCGTTATTTCTTTATTTTGGAAAGAGGTGTTGGGGAATTTATCATGGTACAATCACTTGAGAGTTCAGAAATTGGAGACAGCGAGCATGCTTTCCCAACTTTGTCTCTTTTCTCTCTGGCATTGCCCCTAGTTTCAAGGTGCAGTTTCAGTAGACATTACTACTAGCAGGTAAAAGACTGGTAAGTCAGGGCGGTGCGGACTCCGTGTTTCGCGCTTTTCGCAAGGTGACTCGGTAAGTGCTTTTGCGAGGTATGCGGAATACGCAAACGATTTTGTTATGCCCGTCGGTTGCGTCTCTCCAGCAAAACGAATAAGATGATCTACAAAGGCGCAATCACAAGCCAAGATTTACGATAACAGTGCATATTTGATTCGGTGGTCCGTGTAGTTGTATTTTATCCTGCTTTCTGCAACGCCGTGTCATGGCGAAGTGCTGGAGCGTTCACGGATTGTGCTGGGCTACCGGTAGACCCAGTTGCAAATCCAGAACTCCGTTTTTTTTTTTTTTTTTTTTTTTTTTTTTTTTTTTTTTTTTTTTTTTTGGGGGGGGGGGGGTGGAAAATTTAAAGCAAGATAAACAGGACTCGGGTTGCGCCTTTTGTTTTAACCGCCGCAGAACCACACTGCGCCGACGGCCCCTAAATGTGCGCCGCTGCGCCGACGTTTGGTTCTAAGTCGTGCTTTGAAACCGCCGCCGCGGGCTTAGTCTCGGTTGAAGCGACGGAGTGGTTCTCCAAGTTCAGAGTACAAGTGTGCCTGCTAGGGTGCGACCTACCCTATTTCGAAACCTCGTCCTTGAGTACGGAGCCTCCTACCACCTGGCAGGCCGGTAGTTGGTTTTATTTCGAGGGATCCACGCATGTCAAATCGGCCTTCGAGAAAAGGGCAGAGAAAAGGGTCGACTGTTTGGAGGGGGGTTGGCCCCCCCCCCTTGGGTCCGCCCCTGGGTTGACAGAAGCCCGCGTCGCCCGCATCGGCACTGAGTGCACTTCGGCTGTTGAGGTGGCTCTAGGCTGTTGATGCTCAAGCCTTTCATCCGCGGCTTGCCTGCCGCCTCGGTGGCTCCGAGGCGAGAGCGTCGGCCTACGGATCCCCATGTGGCGTGTTCGAATCCCGGCCGAGGTGCCCGCAATCCGACGGATGCTTATTGCGGAGGAGGCGCCGGGTAACCGAGCTTTCGGTTGCACGTGAAAAGATCCCCAGGTGGTCGAAATAAATCTCGGTCCTCCACCGGGGCATGCCAGATGCCCGTCGTTGGTTTGGCACGTAAAACCCCAAACTTTTTGGCCGCGGCTTGCCACCAGCTGATCCGGCTGCTCGACGGTGAGGAAGTGGCGAAAGTTACCTCTGAAGTAAATCCTTGTTCATCCAGTTATCCGGTGGCAAAGTGTGGAAGGTGTCCAACGCGTATTGAGGGCGGGAACTACGAGCGTTTTGCATTGCTTTCGTAACCGAAACCAGAACAGCGAGATAACTGCCTTGCGAACTCCAAAATGATGGAAGCAATACGTCGTCAAAAATCCCTTTTTAGGGTTTCAAACCAAGTAAACAAGACAAATATAATTCAACTTGGTTGTCTGTATGCAGGAGGACTTATGTAACACATCAATACATTCTCGTTCCAAAACGAAAAAGAAAATAAAACTCAGTTCGCCGTATATGGCAGCAACTTCTCCGCTGCGAAACCTATGCTGGCAACGTAAGCGGTTTTAATATGGCAGCCTCCGCTTTGCGCCGCGTTCCCTTTCCCTCCTTCCCCCCCCTCTCCGTTGGATGGTTGGCTCATATTGACTAGTTTTGACATGTTGTTTCGAGCCTGAATCCAACACCAATTCGAAGTTCCAAATTGAATAAAAATAAAATTGATTTCATTTGAAATTGCCCTAAAGAATATATGTAGAAGCCCCACTTCCGTAAACAACAAAACGATTCTATTTTAATAATTTTTAATAACCGAAACTAATCGTTAACTTTACTACGATCAGTGCGCTTAGGTTCGGTGCAAATTAAAAACCAGTAAAAAAGTCCTTGCCGGGCCCCTTTAAAGGGACCATGAAATGACCTTTTTACTTTTTCCAGATAACTGTTACATTAAACCGTCAATGTTCACTGAATGCCGAACAGGCATCCGTTTTCGTCTCGGTTTATTAACTTTTACACAAAAAATTATTGAAATATCGACTTTTTCATTCTCTCCAACTGACCGCAAAAGAAGCCGTGACGTAGACCGTTTCCGGAACCGGAAGTTCTCTCGGCAGTAGGAGAATGGGAGTGTTAGCGGCAACGAGTTGGGGTGCGCCGGTAGGTTTTACTGCGCTGATGTCACCGACGTATTTCCTGAATCGGCGCCTCTCATCGCCGCATCGCAGCTGAGCGAAATTCAATGAGATATGTTACGCTACAGCGACAGCATGGGACTAGTCCCATACGCCGGTATGCCTGTTGGGAAGTGCAGCGAGTCTTGTCACCACCCCGTCATTGTTGGCAGAAGGGCCGGCCCGTGTCAGTCGTTTGCAAAGCGACGTAGATGGCGTTTTTCGCGGCCTCGGAGATGCAGGAGCGAGCCGACGTTAAAAAAAGATACGTTTGAACTACGAGTGTCAGCAAGAGCCACGTAAATACCTGCTTACACTCGGAGCGGACGCGCGCGCTTGATGGAAGTCTTGTATTCGCGCTGTTGGTAAGCGCTTCGGGACCGTTCTTTTACGATTGCAACTCGATACTGACGCGACACTCGGCAAAGAAAGGTTGGACCGGGGTCGACACGTGCAGTCTGTCAGAATAAAAATGGCATACCAATAACAAAGTGTACATACCGTGTTACGAAGGCAATCCATACGGCGTTTATTTCAGCTCTATATCACACAAAACAAGAAGATAGAATCGACGAGAGTCCCTTTTCGACGAGTGTTCGTCAACACTGCCTCGGAAAACAAGGGGAAGAGATTGACCTCCTCACCTCTTAATCTAGAATTGAGGTCAGTGATCAAACTATAATACGGGAAGGGTCCACAAGGGTCGCGCGGGCATATTCCATTTAGCACGCCAGCCGGTCGTAGGCAGACGGTCTTGCGACGAAGCAACGCAGCGCCGAGTCGGAATGCCTGCTAGGCCTATACGCTTCGTCGGAGTCGGTGAATCCAGCGTTCTTGTTTGTCGTGGTCTGTTTTAAGTACTGTTTTCTTGCTGCTTGAAGTCGGCACGCGCGGGAAGAACACGTAGAAAAATAAACGTTCAGTCAGTCAGAGTTTTGAGAGGAAGGAAAACAAAGAAAATAAATGTTCGTCGGTCGCCGTCACCCAAGTAACTGGCGGCCCTGCCCTACTGCGCACGCGCAGTAGTTGCTTCGTTTACCACACGATAGATGGCGCTTGGCTCTCAGCATTATCAAATTTGGCAATTTTCGCCACACATCTCTAATTATGCTACAAAATGTGGATCTGAATATTATTTAACAAAACTTTTAGGAAACATTCGCCGGCTATTTATTGTTTACGATCGTGGTGCTGGTGAGGTAGGCTCTTACCCAATAGGCGATGTGGATTCGGCTGACGTGCACCGATTCTGCGTATGCATCGTAGTGAACAGGCGAAGGAAGGCGCAAAAGAGTCCAGTTTTCTTTTAAAAGTTCTATAGCAAATAATTTTTTTTGGGCTCCCTATTTTTGTGTTTTTGTGTTTCTTTTCACACCTTTTACGACGTGCGGTGGATGAAACTCGATTTTAAAATCATTTCATGGTCCCTTTAATGACACTTTGCTTTTCTCGAATTTAGCTTTGCTTTAAAGGTTATACTATGGTGCCTCGATCGCGTCTTTGACTGGTGTGTTTAGCGCCCTATCCCGCCCATACATCAAAAGTGGTCCCAATGTGGCAACAAATGACGCGAGTGTCATGCTAGGGAGGCTGTAGTGTGTCATGCTGTTGCCTGTCGCGATCCTGGCGGTTGGC